CCGCCGCAGGCACCAGGGAGCTGTTCTCCGCCAGAGCAGGCCCGCCCATGTTGCGCCGGCGGGGCTCTGAGGCCGGCCGCGCGACCTCTCTCACGGTCCCTGCCCCCCCCTCCCCCCTCGCCCCCCGCGCCCGCAGGACGCTGCTGCCCGCCTACCCAGAGGCCCTCGTCGTCGAGAACGCGCTGCTGGACGCGCGCTTCCGCGACAACCCCCTCGTGCAGGGCTTCCCCTTCATCCGCTTCTACGCGGGCTGCCCGCTCGTCGCCAGCAACGGCCTGCGGCTGGGGTCCCTCTGCATCATCGATCGGGCGCCCCGCACGTTTGACGCTGAGTCGTGCGCGCTGCTGGCCAACATGGCGGAGATGGTGGTGCGGGAGGTGGAGAAGGACAAGGCGCTGGATATTGAGGTGCGGAGTGGAGGGCGCGGGGGCCTGAGATCTGTTGTGATCTGACCGAGGGTGATCTGGCGGCGAGGCGAGGGCCAACCTCTGGTGCATGTCGTCTGACGGATTCCGTACCCCTCTTCCTGTGTGCATGTCTTGCAGACAAAGGGACGGGCCGGAAGGGGAGAAGGCATGTGAGGGTGGTCGCGGCGCTCGTCCCTCACCCGTCGTCCCCTTCCCCCTCCATGCGCGCCGCGCCCCCGCAGAAGCAGGCGCAGCTGTGCTCTCCGGACGAGGAGGGCCAGCCGGGCTGCCAGGAGCTGCGGTCGCTGGACGCCACAGAGGACGCGGTGCTGGTTGTCAACACGGCGGGTGCGCGCGCAGCCGCGGCCAGATGTCTTTGAGCCGACACCAGGGGCGTGAGCGTGCGCAGCCGTTTGTTGAAGGCTGTCCACGCTAGCACGAGGCGACGCCGCCAGCCTGCTTGTCCTGACACTCGGCCGCGCTTGCCCCGCCGTCGATGCCTACCCGGGCCCCGCCAGGCGCGGGCGAGTGGTCCATCGTGTACGCCAACGCGCCGTGCCAGCGGCTGCTAGGCGGGGAGGAGCGCTGTAGGGGGGCGTCGTTCTGGAGCGTGTTCCAGGTGGGTGTGGGGCTGCCCGTCGGGCACGGCTGCTCGCTGGGCGCCTCAGCCTGGCGGCTGGGCGGCAAAGCGGCGCAAAAGGCGGGCGGCGGGACCCCTGCGCGGCGTGGCAGGATGGGCGGTTGCTAGGCTGCTCGTCGCAGCCGCCGCGTCGGCTCGTGACAACCCCCCGTCGCTGCCCGCTCGCGCGCCCGCCGCTCGCAGGGCGTCGACGGCCGCGGCCGCCCCTCGGCCGGCGCGGCGAGCGCGGTGCAGGGCGCGTACCGCCGCGCCGTCCAGGAGCGGCGCAACTTCGAGCTGCGGGTCGTCTACTCGCGCGGCGGCGGCGCGCAGGAGCAGCAGCAGCAGCAGCAGCAGCAGCAGCAGCAGCAGCAGCAGAAGCTGGACAGGCACATCGAGGAGGAGGCGCCAGACGGCAAAAGCGGCGGCGGCGGCGAGGACGGGCAGCACGTCGGTCTGTTGGAATTCCGCTTCGCGCCGCACACGGGCGTCGACGCCCAGATGCCACTGATCGGGATACCGAACTTTCTGCCAGATGCTGATGAGCCGCCGAACTACTACTTTGCGGTCCTCCGGGAGCTGGGCCCCGCGCCCGGCGCCGCCGGCGGCGTGTCCGCGTTCGCGGCGGCCGCGGGCGGCGCGCCGTTCTGCAGCGGCGCCGCCGGCGGCGGCACGCCGTCGGTGTCGGGCGCGCTCTCTGGATTCGGGCGCCTGGGCAGCGCCGACAGCGCGGGGTCGTCGAGCTTCGCGGCGTCGAGCAGCATGGGGCCGGCGTTCAAGATGCTGCCCAACAACGACGCGTTTGCGGACATCCGGCTGGGGCCGCTCCTCGGGAAGGGCTCGTTCGGGCGCGTCTACCGAGGTGCGCCGCCCGCGGCCCCGCCGCCAATCCGCCTGACACCCCCGCCC